GATCCTAATTTCTGGAAAGAAAAACACCTGTCTCTTATACACATCTAGATGTGTATAAGAGACAGTATTAACATTCGGTTCCCTTTCTCTTTTTCTGGAATATAGCCGGCAATGTTGTAAAACTTGTAGTTTTAATTTATTAGGCCCATTTTCTCTTCCAGTAAGATTATTTATTCATAGGATGAAGATTGAAAATTTTTTTTTTTCCGTACGAAACATTTACATGAAACTCCACTCGGGCCGTCTCGACTGAATCGACCCGAAAATCTCATCAGAATTCAGGAGGTCAAAAGGTCATCCGCAGATAAACGTCTACAAAACAACTAAAACAAAACACTTCTGAGAGAAGGTCGCGTGTCTAATTTTTGAAAATACTAGATGTTACCATGCTAATACTAATGGGTCGTTTAAAATGACTGAATGAATATAATATTTAATTGAGCTGCACGAGTAATCATGAAAAGTGTTATTTTAACTTGTGTTACATACTGTGACAATTTTTATTTTTTAGTTATGTCTGGGTTTTGCATAATTACCTAGGTCTACTAACTACTAAAATATACACTTTCTGGGAAAGCACAGAGACTAAGGAAAAACGCGTTTCTCGGGGCGTTTCTTCATCAAACAAGGTGTCAGTTATTTTCAAACTAACAGCTGAGAATAGGCAGCTCTAATATACTGGATGACATAAGACCTGCCAAAAATGGCAGAGCACCAATGAATGTATAAATGAGGCCTAAGCCTAGTTATTAATATCAGGCATAGTAATCTGCAGGTTCTTGATTACAAGGCTAGACCAAGTTAATTACATGTAATGAAGAAATGATTATTTATTATTATTATTTATTATTATTATTATTATTAATTATGTTACTAAAACCAACCTGTAGGCCTCCTTAAGGGGACTTAGACAATGGAGTAATTAGAGAACAATTAAAAAATCGACGTTAAGGGGAAATGACACCAAAGATATTCCCTTGGGCTAGTTATTAATTATAGGCCTAGTAAATAGTATGGTTCTTCATTACAAGGTTAGGCCAAGGTAATTAATGCTGAAATTATTATTATTATTATTTAATATTTGTTGTTGTAGATTATTATATTTTTTATTATTTATTATTATTATTATTATTATTTAACATTGTATATTTTATTTAATATTTATTTTATGCACTCTATTTTTTATTTCATTCTTCAATTTTTTTCAAAATTTCAATCAACGTCGTGTGAAGCGTGACTGCTGGTGTCAGCCTAGGACCCTAGGGACCTAGACCTATAGTTTAAGGAGGGGCCTAGGTAGGAGGACTTTTAAAGTTAAAACTCAGCCTGTAGTTAGGCCTATAGTTTATCCTCTTTCTCTCTAGCCTTTGGTATTACTGTACCTATCTACACTTTATAAAGGGGGGTACTAGCTGTTGTTGTTGTAGATATTATACTAACATTTAATAACATCCAAGAAAGTCACAGTTTAGTTATACATGTACATTCCATAAATCCGTAAGATATCATAGACCTACCGTAAGTAAACATAGAAAGAGCAATACAGTAATAGTAAAACTCGAGCGTCACGACATTGCGAAGTGTCTGCTCTTGTTCTTCGTATCGAACTCAGTCGAGTCAATCCGAAATGGCCTGAAGTTTCATGCAAATGTTTCGTACGGGAAAAAAATCGCGCCGGGGTCCGAGGTCCCCGACGAAAAAAGTGGGCGTGGTCTGGCGTCCCTCAGTATCCGTCGAAAGTTTTCCACGGGGCTTCCCTACCCGGAAAAATAAACAATTTTTGGTTTGAAAGGCTTAGTCGATTTTGGTGTCAACTAATAGGCCTATTTAGAAAATACAGTACATTTTTCTCCCCGACGAATTGTGGTTTTTCTCCAAGACAGGGGGTGGAAGAGAAGCCAGACCTACCCGACGGGGCCCTCCCACCCCGCCATCCCTGCTAAATACAGTATTGTACTATAGTAGGGCCTAGGCCATTGAATTTTTTTCATTTTTTCTGTGATTAAGGCCTAATCCCTACCGCAAAATAAGACTAACTAGGCTTATGTATTAGTTCACTCTGTGTAGGCCCCATGAATTGATAATATTCCAGGGATCCTAATTTCTGGAAAGAAAAACACACATGAACAACTTATTTTTTCTTACATTGTTTGTACCATGAAGGAATTAGTTGTTGGACTGTATCTTGCTATGCTGTGTGATTACAGACAGGGCCCACACTTTGTCGAGGAAATTAATACAGAACATAGCTGAAGCTTTGCATGACTTCAACATACGAAGCCACGCCCCTCGGCTGAACCCGTTGTATTTAGCAACTCCCTATAACATTCAACCGACTATTGTTTGGTCATAGTTTGACATATATGACATCTATCGATTATGCGTCGTCGCCAGTGGCCTAGCATTTCGTCTAGTACACTGTAAATGCCTACCTGACTTGATATTACTGAAGAAGGCTTCCGCTAATTCATTACATTACAACATTTATGATTCAGTTTTTATTAAACAGAGGTAACTTCAAGTTTCAGTTTTATTTGAACCCTCGCTCACGACGTTTTGACTTAAATAATCAATAATCACGGCGTCAAATTGCCCTGTATGAGCGAGTTTTAAAAATTCTCTAATTGAAAAGGAGACACCCCCTCCCGAAAAAAAAAAACCCTTCTACGCACCGCACCAAAGTACAAGTTTGCCCTTCCTGTCGAGGGCGTTGCCCTGCCGTCGGATAAAATCTTAGCGCCGCCACTGCTAAAAGAAAATCGAACTTAAAGCATGCGCTTTATTTTGCGTTACGAAATAGTAACCAGAAGACAGTTGTTGTCACTGACAACGTTACAGAAAAAAAGCAGCATAACATCAAATATCTCCAACAACAACGAAGACTAGTTTCCCAACTTATTTGTCAGTGTGTCTGTTTGCTAATCATATTATACATTACCGCCCTTAATCTCAGTCACAAAACTCAAGCCACAAAATTCAACGAAACGGTTTGCTCTACTTCAACTTCAGAATTACAAAGAATGTTGAATTTATTTATTAAGATTATCCACGACTTATTAAAAGTGTAGGCCTACTGTGCAGGAACGTTTTGAACCGAATTGATGTCGGGTGTTAAAATTGTGTCATTATGTATTTTAGTGCTATCATCAGACAAATCCTGTCGATCTGGTTACTTTGGTGAACTCTGTAACTACCCATGCCACTGTTCGGCAGGAGCTGATTGTAACAGAGATGATGGTAGCTGTACAAATGGATGCAGTGATTCATGGGCAGGCTCAAACTGTAGCATAGGTTTGTGTGATCAGTGAAACCACATTTTATGATGTTAGATGGGCTTAATCAATGTAATAAATTGAACATTTATATGAATATAATATGTATCAATGCTTGCGGAACACAGCGTAGATAGTTCTGAAAAGAACTGTTGTTGTTGGTTGAGAATATCTCACCCAATATTGAGATATTCTCAACCAACAACAATAGTTCTTTTCAGAACTATGATGTACAAGCATTAATACATATTATTAATTCGCCATGCAAACCTTCAAACAGTATTCTATATGAATATAAACAATAACTTCGTGTATATATTATTAAAGAAAGCAATGAACTTGGAAAAAAACAGAGTACTGATGATACAAAGGCTAAACAAGCAATTGATCAATCAACATTTATCAAAACCATTACTTCGCCATGCAAACCTTCAAACAGTATTCTATATGAATATAAACAATAATTTCATGTATATATTATTAAAGAAAGCAATGAACTTGGAAAAAACAGAATACTGATGATACAAAGGCTAAACAAGCAATTGATCAATCAACATTTATCAAAACCATTTCTTGACATGTGAAACAACGTTAATTACGTGGATTTTGGTAGATCTACCGTCTTGTTGCTGGATGTATTGGAAATTAAATCCCGATATTAACATTGCATTTAAAAAAAATACATTAATAATTGTGATGTTTCTAATAATTTTCAGCTCTACCATACTTAAGTAGGCCCCCAATCGCTACACCAAAAGCAAGTACTATATTGGTTGATGTTACCTGGACACAAGGTAAAGACTACGGTACAGGGACTATAACATCATGGACCCTTTGGTATAAGACCAAAAGTAGCAGTCAGTTCACGTCAATTAATTCAAGCACACCTGACGTCATCAAAATTTCTGGATTGAAACTTTATGAAATTGTAACATATTACAGTGTACTTTCGCGATCCGTTGAATGTGTTAATACATCTGGACCGGAAAGTCCACAAGAAACAATTAAAACCACTTGCTCAGGTAAACTACAGTGATGCAGTCGCTGTGATATTATTTTGATGGTCTGAAAATACGTTGATATATTTTCTAAATAGCTGTTGCGATAGGTTAAATATAATAACATTAATTTGTTAGACAATACCATGGGTATTCACCTCACCCTAGTTTCCCCATAGATGTGCAGAAACCCATTTAATCTATTTAAATTGAGTGTTCAGATGTTCTACTCTACCAAGTTGGTCACCGAAATGCAACGATGTCAAGTCGATTGATTACGAACACGACACACAACACTGAAAGAATGATGAGAATATCGGACTTAACAGAATGCACCGAATACGTAGTTGACTTAAGAGTCGTCAATGACAAAGAATTTAAAAGTCCATGGAGCGAAGCTATTAACATCATAACGTTACCATCAGGTACAACCAATAAATAATTTTATCATCAAACCTACATTATGTTTTATTTATTTTGCTATTTTGAATTCTATTTGGAACAGTATATTTTACAGAAAACAAACCAAAGCAGTTTTATGACAAAGATCGAAAACATGAAATGATCAAGTTTGAACATTCTACGTAACAAGTGTAACATCAAAACTAATAATGATAATAATATAATTATAATACAAAATAATTAACAATGTATAAATTAAACCTACAGATCCACATTTTGTATCTACAAATTCGACAATTTTGGAAACGTCATTCACAATGAAGTGGCATGCTCTTGCATCATGTAACAGTGGAACCGACCTTTTATATCACTATCGCCTCAACTACGTGAAAAGCAATGACGAGTATACAAGTGGGAACACATCAGATACAGAAGTAGAAATCACAATCAGTGATGCTGTTGAGCCATGTACAGAATTTAGTTTTAACGTTTCAGTCTCATTTATGGGTGTAATAGGACCAGCAAGTTCCATAAAACTTTCAACGGACGCCGAACGCAAGTTTCCATTGATCTTTTTCATATTAAAATACTTAATATTAATAAGCTGCTGTTGTTGAATGTAATATATGTTTTAGAACAACCTAACGGGTTTTTTTTTTTCATACAGCTATTTATACTTAAATACAGTATATGTTATGCTTACCTTTTCCAGTTCCGGGAGTTCCAGAGATCATATCAGCAGAATATTTTGGTGGTAGTATTAATGTTGAATGGCACCCTCCTGTAAACATTCAATGTCCAGTTAGCTACAGTGTTATTTTGCAATGTTGTGATGAAAAAACCTTCTCCAAAGATACAAATGATACACAAGTTACCTTTACGGTTGAAGATGGAATATCACCAGACAAAAACTACACCGTAAAGGTAAAAGGAGTTACAAACAAAAACAAATTGTTTGATTTATACTCATAAGAGGTTGCTAATAACCCATTGAGCAGATTTGTAAAGATGAAGTAATAATCACTTTTGAATATTTCAAATGTCAGTATGTTTACTAGGAATTCAGAAAAAAGGCATGATCCCAAAATGACATCACTTCTGTGTCAACAATGTGTAAATTGACTTTTAGAGTGTTTTTTTTTTTTTTTTTCATTTTTGATGCCTCAAAATATTGTTAAAGTAAATAAAAAAATAAAATTTATTTTATAATAGGCCTATAGGTTTACTGGGTTCAATCCTGTTGAATAGGTCACTGATGTTTTACACAATCAAAAGCAACACTTTTCACCCAAGCATCTTAAGAGACTTGCCTAAGAGTATAAGCGGACCCAATTGATACGGCAACATTACTAAATAAATCACCTTAAAATAATACGGAAATCCTCATTTTATTTAGGTAGCAGCAATTACGATGAAAGGCTTGGGTAATTATTCGGCCATTCAAGCCGTGAAAGTGAATGAAACACAAAGTAAGTAATATTAGAAGGTTTAAATCATAATAATTTGAATTCATTAATACTATAATTAAATATCATATCTGACAACTCACAATTTTATTATATCAACAATCTAATAATATTAGACAATATCATATCTTTAAATAAATTCATAAAATTATAGAAATAACGTATTTATAATTTTAAAAAAACAATCGATCATTATAAGCATATATTATTAATCTATAATTTATCATATTTTTATCATAATAAAATAATAATTCAGGAAAAAAATACACAATTGGCGATCAACAACGTGAAACAAATATCAGACAAGGAAACAGTAAACTTGAATAGTTCATCGAGAACTAGTAATATCTTACATATAAATATTTAGTAATATAGGCCCATTGTTTCAGGTCTTTGTAATTGCCACATTATGCCATACCTACTTTTCTTTTTATAGATACACAAGGGCCGAATAAACAGATTCAAATTGTGATTGGGATTGTAGGTTCAGTGGTTGCCATTCTTGTTTTCATCACACTTACTTACTATTTGAGAAGGTTTGATATTTATAAAAAATATTTTTATCTAGTTTTTTATTTTTTCGAAGAATTTTTATTCCTTTTTTAGTGTAATTACTAGCACATAAGAATCGAATGATTTGTGTTGAAGAAAAAGTAAATAATTCTTACATTTATTGTTATAGACGTCAGAAAGGGAAACAAGAAGATCATCAAAGCCCCATTTTAAAATATCAACCTGAAGTTAACAATGCTGCAGGTATGATTTTCAATAGAATCTGTAGGATTTATTACAGTAAATTGAGAACTAGTGTTCATAAGTAAACAAGAGTGTGCTCTGCTTGGTGTTGGGGGGGGGGGGGTGGCTGAAATGCAAGATTTCTGATGAGACGATTAAGCAATTGGTCGGGAGTACAATAATGCCCATTTTCAAAAACGCAATACAGTCTCCGGAATGTCTCCCGGTGTACTGTCAGAGTGTCCCCAATGGATATAAGTCTTCGACTTTCGTGTGTTAATATCTTTAGAATGTTTCACATCGGATAAATCCAATTCAATGTTATCCAATGCTCATGTTTCAGTAACGTCATTGCCGACCATTAGCAACATTTTGTAGAGTAAAGGAGATGACTCTATGATGTTATATAATTTGTCTCTAATTGACGTTTACAATCGTTTACTGTAGTGACCACCACTCTTAATTTTGCCATATCCGCTTTTCATGCTATGTGTTTAGAAATGCAATACAATACTATAAAGTAGGAGGGAGGTTACCTCGATGTACTTATTCATCTCACAGCCCCTGCCTTCATCCAGATGTGGAACAGGCATTGATGAGTGTCTGGATAGAAATAGGGTCAAAATTGGAATTACACCAGAGCCAATATGTTTAATATAGGCCTATATATTTTTCATTTTGCTATAATTATAATTTATTTTGCAAGTTATTTTAGCGTCAATTTAAAAATATTGTTTTTTGTCAATGGGAATAAAAACAATATTAACGAAACAAGTTTTTACAGGGGCAGAGAAAGGTGACAACGTACGCATCAGAACAAATATAAAACAACCTGTTTGTAACGAGAATATCGACATCGAGCCTGTCTACGAAAATACAGACATACCATCCAGAGATATCCCGTTAAAAGAGCTCCATGCTTATGTTATGATGAAGCGATCTAACTCTGTGGATTCAATGAAAAAAGAATTCGAGGTGAGAGAGTATTATTTTTATGTCAGTCTTATACACTTGTATTTCATAACTAAATAGCATACAGCAGTAGCATATACAATGGAATCTTCAGCAACACGTTTTAAATAATCAAACAATTAGTTGGATGTTGGAGTAGGTGAAAACAAAAATATATACCTATCAGGAATAAATATCAAACTACCCTGACCTTTTATCATCTGCATTCAAGCATTATTCTTCATTCTGTTGTTCTTATTTCTCGAACTTGGTCAGTTTTACCGGATAGTCTTGAAGTTGTTTGACCTACGAATCACTTGGACCCTTTATAAACTCTCTCCATTCCCACTTTCGTGCAGGACATACTATGTAACATTTTATTTTTGGGACTCTTTTGTCATTTTTGCAATTTATTATGTAATTTTTAAACTTTTCATCAAGCTTTTTGTTAGTTTTTTTTTTATTATTAATAATTGTTTTACTGTGTTTTGTGTTTTAGTCTATATTTATCAACATGTTTGTTTTAGGGACAGCTAACCAGAAAGAAAGTGATTCATTTGCTTAGGCTGCCCTCAACCATGTTGTGTTTGTATTTGGGTCTAATAAATAAAGAAAAAAAAAGAAAATGAAATGGTGAAATTGGTGTATTTTAATAATTTTTTTTTATTAATCATTTCTGCATTAAATAAAATTATTATATTCACCTTATTGCAATATCAATGATAATTGTAACATTGCAAAGAAAGTTAATCTAGCATGATAAAAATATTTTCATTAAATTATTAATACATTTTGAAGCCTACGTTTACGTGTTTACATTACGTTTCGGCTTCTGCTTCAGCTATTGTAGCCTTGATTACGAAATAACATTATGCTGTGTTTTTCGTCGTCGTACGCCCTCTATCTTATTTTCTGCGTTAAGCTGGTTTCTCATTGGTGATGTGTATTTAGCTTAAAAACTGTGTTAAAGTTCATATCCTTCTATCTACTTTTTTTCTTTTCTTGTTGGTCTAAAAGATGCCTAAATATTTATACTCGGTTTCTTTATTTATTTATTTTATCTTCTTCCAGTTTGGTTCGGTTTCAGATTTACAGCGCTTTAAAAAAAAACACGCTCTAGTTCTAAGCCTTAGGCCTACAGAATCAGTTTTCCTGTTTTCTCCACATACATTTGGGGAATAAGGAATTTACTAATATTTTAAACATGAATCTCTGCTGCTTTTTCTTTTCATAGAACTACTGAACATAGGCTACTGTAACAGTTTATGAATGAAAATTTATTATGAATAAAAACAAATAATGTAGTTCAAAATATGATAATTAAGAGCGTTATAAATTAAATCATATTGTTATTATTATATTAACAAATTAATGACTGATAAAAGATTGTTACTAACATTTTCTTTACATGACATTGTTTCTCCAATAGGATCTCGGAACAAAGCAACGCCACTCGTGGGATGTTGCTAAGCATTCAGATAATAAGACGAAAAATAGATATGCAAATGTAGTAACATGTAAGTTTATGGTATTGTAAAACATTATTAACCGAAATCTTCGAATAATTAACTGAAACAATAACCAATGTTTCTCATTAGTAGGAATATCAAAGCGGTGGCAAGTATACAATTTGGTAATGCGAAAATTAACATTACTTTCAAAATTATCGTGAACTGGTAATTGTAGAATCCGGATCTAAATATTTGTATTAATGAAGATTTTATAATTTTTTTTTTAGATGACAAATCACGTGTTATTTTGAAGTTAGACGGGAGTACAGCAGGATCTGATTATATCAACGCTTCCTATATCGATGTAATTTTATAATTTTGTATTATATCCAAAATTTACATTATGATTTTATCGATCGAGTTAAGTGATTGAAGATATTCAATGTTATCCTTTTTTTAAACAGTTATAAGCTGTAGTATCGTTGCCTATCATTGTTGTATAAATGGTTGTAAAAATCAGGGGCACCGCAGATAATACATTTGTAGGTATGTATTTTTGTGAGATTGCAAGTCCTACTGCAGTAGGATCCAGGGGAGTAATCTCTAGTATGGGTGTAATGGTCTTTGCATCTTCAGAACATACTGTATATCATTATTAAGGAAGAAATAAGTTAAGCCTACAGCTTATAATGACATTGTTGAAAAATATGATAAGAAAGAATAAAAGGTGCCGGTATTGATTAACGTCTGCGTAGGTCCAGTGTTACACTACTTCCCACACTACATTTAATGTGTCATGACTGTCGCTATATAAGTGCTCGAAGGCACAAAACTGTCTGCTGATTGCCAGTAGCAGTTTCAGCAAATCGTCATTGAACAAAAAAAATTGTTGCACGAGCTTTGTAGCATCGCATTCTTCATGGAATCGGCCGACGATCCCCGATACACGGGTGAGTGTACCTAGACTACACCAAATCAATTTGCACCGGCATACCTCGCAGCAGCATTCTCTATAATTATACCTACCATATGCAGCCTCTAGAGTACGCTGTAGTTGTTAAAATAAACATATAGTTTGAGACATAATTATACATTTATTAAAGGAAATCTTCGGCAGCGCCTGCTGCCATCCTCAGCGTAAGAGTGTCATGGCGCTGCCGAAAATTTCTTTTAATAAATGTATATGTCTCAAACTATGACAAAGTGTCCGGCGTTTATTTTAACAACTGCAGTGTTATTCTATACCATCGAGAATACATTGCTTGTCAAGGTAATACTATCACCAATTTCTGTATATGAATGCAATGTCGACAAAAATTGTGCCATATTTTAAGCATCAATATATTTAATATTATTGTTATTAATATAAGAAAAATATTAAATTGAATAAACATCATGCATAATATATTATTCTTATTTATAATTAGGCTTGTATATTATGTAAAATATATCTGTGTCTCGTATAGGTCCAAATACTGCTAGTGTGAATGACATGTGGAGGATGATTGTTCAGGAAAATGTTGTTATCATTGTCATGGTAACGAACCTTGTGGAAGGCAAGAGGGTAAAAGATTTCAGCAAATGTTTAATTTATGTATTTGATCGGTTTAGTTTAACTAATTCTGGCATTGTCAACAGGAGTCTGTCATTTTCCTAGTGTAGCTCACTATGGCGTGGAGTATTGACATGGGGAGGGGGGAGATTGATGAATAATAAATGTTTAAGTGGGGGTCTGATATGATGCAAAGCGCCAGCGACAGATTCGTGGGGCAGGCGCGGGACGTGTCATTCTGTTGAAAACACTGCTATAAAAATGTATCTTTACAGTCTGAGTGTGCAATTCTTGGAATCTAGAGGTGTCTATTTTAAAAGTGTGCTCAATGCGGCTTCTTTTTGTGGTATTGGACCCCTTGTCGGGAAAATGTCTAGCTCTGACATTGTTTTTAACTACCGAACACAAGAATGGATTTCTTTTATGCTCTGAAAACCAGTTTTTTATCCCCCACCCTTTTCAATGCTGCTGCATTTCCTCAATTTTACAAAACAAGTTGATGTTAAAAACCTGTGCTACTAATAGGCCTATTTAGGAAGACATGTAGGCCTATGAAAGGGAATGGGTAGGGCTGACATTGAAACAAACAGAAGGTATACAATACAATTTATGTGGGCTGACCGCTGGTCTCAATAGATTGAAACTGGCCACCAGCTTATAAGGTTGAATACCTGGGTGCTATACTATACAGCTTAATAATTATCAATGCCATGGAAAAATGTAATAATTAAAATATTGTTAAAAACATTATTCATTATTGATCAGCTCACTGGCTTCTTGGTACCTAGAGAAACACATTGTTATCAATTGAAATACAGCAACCGAAATGGAGGACGTGTGTATGTGTCCCGATGGGGAGATTTTTTGGGGGAAGACTTTATTTCCCCCATCTAACTACTACTATCTAACATCGAAAACAAGCAATTCAATTCAATTCACAGGTTATTACAACATGAACAACTAATTCACAATTTATAATTACAGACTAAATGCCAGAAATACTGGCCAGATATTGGTTGTAGACAAACATATGTTAATATTGTCGTCACGAACATGGAAGAAAGTGATCATGGCTACTACACCATTCGCAAGTTCAAGGTAGGCTGCGTGCATATTTATTTTTCCTTCATTAATATATAAATTAAAACTGGGCATTTCTGCTAGTTGTATTGTATTGTTGCAATTGGCTTTCACAGTATTTCATATGGGCCTATATTTATATAGACATCATTATGTCCAACCTAACTATACCAAACATATTATTTAGGTTGACACCCAAGGGATGTCGCGTGAGGTGTGGCAATACCATTTCACTGACTGGCCTGACAAAAGTGTTCCACCGGTTGTCACCCCTCTGGTCGAGTTTATCTACGAGTTTAAAGAAGCGAAAAAGGTCTTGCCGAGTAGTACTGGACCTTATGTAGTCCATTGCAGGTAATACATAGGCCTGCTTTTTGTCTTAACTAAGTTATGTGATTTACAACAAAACAAGGTAAAATGGATTTACTCTCTAAATAAGAACCTTAAAAAACAATCTCCTGTTACACTTCTTAGTAAAGAGGTTACTCCCCATAAAATATGATTGCTGCCATCAGTCGTTAAATTTTATGTGACATTTTGGTCATCTTTAGTGGGTTCAAAAAACAAGGTCTTCAAATCTGTTCACGAACATAGATAATTATTTATATAAAAAATAATCAGATTTTTGTTAATCAAATCAAATTTCACTCTGTTGCAATCATACCAACAAAACATAAGTTTAAGAAAATATTATATATTCCTATATGTATGGTAAAAATAGAACAGTTTAATTAATAATAGGTCAGAAAAGATTATTATTATTATTATTATTATTATTATTATTATTATTATTATTATTATTATTGTTATTATTATTATTATTGTTATTGTTATTATTATTACTGATAAAGTGCCGGGGCCGGGAGAACTGGAACAGTTATCACGATCGACGCCATGTTGGATATGGCAGAACGCACAGAAACAGTGAATGTGTTCAATTTTGTCAGGAACATGAGAGAAAATCGCGTTCAGATGGTGCAAACTGAGGTAAATTTACTCGTTTGTATTAATTTGTCACAATTATAAAGTGGCTCATGATTAAAATAACAATATTGAATTTCTTCAATAACCAATCAGAATCACCGATTGTGTATATGCCTATTATTGTTAGTCATGGTATCGCTGATTCAAATACAGTTTGTCCAATCGTTTAATACAGTTTGTCGAATCGTTTAAGACGGTTTATTGTCCTTAACTTACCTCAATATCTAGCAGTCACTGCAGGACTTATTCCTCCCCAGAGCATAGGCGTAGATCCCGGGAAGGATAGGGGGATATATCCCCCCCATATTTGACAAGGGGGATGGTTCATTGTATCATCCCCCCCCCCCAATATTTTGACTATGTTTGGGATAAATTGGAGCTTTACACACTTCAAAAGACTGTCACAGAAATAATTTGCACTGTCTTATGCGCTTACAAA